AAGTTTCCTGCTAGTACATTAGTGTCCCATGCAATCATATTGCAGCCTGTTATTGTTCAGGCCAGGTACTTTTCTGCTTGCACAGATAGTAATGTCATTGCTCTTCTGTTAATCTGTAACCTTTTTTTCTTCTTCTTGGTTTGTAATTGTTATGCAGTTTCAAGACCCAAAAGGACCTACTTGGTATGAATTGCACTATTTCTCCATCGCTTCATTCGATTATCCCTGCACACACACAAATATCATAATTTTTTCAATGTTTGATTTGATCTCTAACATGATCAAGTGTAATTAAAACCAGGTTGTCGTACAAAGGTAGCTCGCAATGTAAACATGGAGAAATTGCGGAATGGCTATTTGTTTCCTGAGGTGATTTTATGTTATTTCATTCATTTCTATCTTGGCTTCGATTCATCTCTTAACACAGTAGTCAGTAACTATTACTAAATAACTTTTGTTCTTTTTGTTGGATATAAGAATCTATTTACATTCCCTTTTCTTTCCTCAGTTTGGTTGAATATGCATTTGGTTTAACTTTAAACTTTAAGCATTATTTATATTTTATACTCGATCGAAGCTTTATAATACTCTTTTAATCAAATTGTCCTGCAAAACATGATACTTTATTGCCTCCACAGCTCAATTTTAGTGTTGATTTATGAAGTCTAGCAAATTTATGTTTCTATTACTTTGCTAATTCAGCACTTTGAGTGTCCTCATGATCAGCTGAGATCTCTTACCGCTCATCATTCTTTTGTCATTAATTCAGATTTCAAGGCTTGAGGTTCAACACATTGAGAAGTACCCAAATGCAAAGTTGATAAGCCTTGGGATTGGTGATACAACAGAACCAGTACCACAAATCATCACATCAAGCATGGCTAATGTTAGTAATTTCAACTGAATTTTTACTTTCAATGTAGATATTATATTTCTATATTTTTCTAGTTTAGATGTTTGATTGTGTCCTAAATTCCACCAAGATTAAATAGCCTTAGGGTGCAATTCGGTTCTGTGCATGGACACAGACAAATTAGTAATTTTAAATTTGTGCAGAAATAATTTGATGTAAACTCAGTGAGGGCAATGATAATGCAGTAGTTTCAGTTCACTGAGGGCTCTGTTCTGTTCAGGCAGAGGGATATCGTACGGTCTGGTAAAAGTGCATAAGGTGTTATTGTGTTGAAATCCTAGTAAAAGGTGCACTAGAAACCAAATGTTATTAGGTGGTAAACATTTCTTCTGAGATATCAGTTTTTACTACTGTTATACGGTTAAAAGTATTCGTATCCTGTGTATAAATCACAAAATTTTCATTGAAGATTGAATTTCTGCCTTGGACAGTTTTATTGTCATCAAGTACATCTAATTGATTGAATGTCTAATGCCCTGTTTGTATGAGAAGATGCTAGTTTTCGGATCTGAAACCTGGGTATGGAGATGATGCATTTCCGGATTTACGTGCTTACTGTTTACAGGGCTAGTGGTGAACACATCAGTAGTCTCTTGTTATATGAATACATCCTCAGCATAACACAATGTACACATCTCATTTAGGTTGCAATTGGATATGTTTATTTAAATGAGGGATTTTGGTTTTTCTGCTATGTTCAAGTTGATCATATTAACTGTTAAGAGAAAAGAATTGGATGGACTTTTTGAAGGATTGGAATGTTTAATACTTTGGTGTTTTGCAGTATGCACATGCCCTTTCAACTGTGGACGGTTATACAGGATATGGCCCTGAGCAAGGCAACAAGGTACATAGTACATACCATACTGCTTGGTTTAGCATTTATCATCTGGTGCATCAAATTAGTTACCATTTTTTGGGTACAGCGGTGCATGAAATTTATATAATTTAGAAACATTCTCTTGCCAGATTGTGAATTTTGACTATTGATCACGTTAGTTTTTACTAGAATGTGTGGTCCACATTCACAGTCTCGCAACATAACTCTAGAGTAGAAAGCGTCACCATATACATGTGTGTGTGTGTGTGTCGCAGCTAGATGGTGTCCTCACTTGGTACTTTTATGACATAAACTTCTATCATTTCTACATAGGCATTGCGGAAGGCAATTGCAAAGGAATTCTATAAAGATCTGCCCATAAAAGACACAGAAGTCTTTGTATCAGATGGCGCACAGTGTGACATTACTCGGCTTCAGGTACTCAGCCGTTTAAGTTTGGTGGATGCTAGTTATCTTCTCTATTTTTTGGTATTTTAGTTTCAAGTGTCGCTTACTCTTTCCTGTCTTAAATTCTGAAAATTACTACAATGCTAGAAACAATGATTTCCCTTCTGTGGTATTTACAGCTACTGCTGGGTTCCAACGTGACGATTGCTGTGCAGGATCCATCCTTTCCGGTGAATTCTTATAATTCTAAATACTACGAGTTTACGTCGCTTTTTTTTTTTACTGCTTACCACTATACTAGTAGCTTATGTAACGAAATGTCACCGAATCTTCTTCAATTCCAAGTGATGGATGCTAAGCATGCTCCTCTGTAGTTTTCTGGAAACCCTGATTTTGGGTAATCTTATGTTGCTAGACTTATGTTTCCAGACAAATGCTTATTGAGAATGCCTCAGAGTTATATGCAAAGTGACATTCAAGACAATTATGATATTTTTTTTCTTTTCAATTCATTTACACATTCTATTGGGGATCATATTCCTTTCGATATGATTTTACAGCAGAAAGTTGCTCAATGGATGCTACATTTTCCTCTTGAGTATGGATATAACCAAATCATGAACTTAACACAGCTCATACATATTCTGATATGGAATGGTATATATTCATGGCAGGCTTACATAGACTCAAGTGTCATAATAGGTCAGGCTGGTGTTGAAGATGAAGCTGGGAGGTATGGGAGCATTGAATACATGAAATGTGGGCCCCACAATAACTTCTTTCCTGACTTGGCAACCACTTCAAGAGCAGACATTATCTTTTTTTGCTCTCCAAACAACCCCACCGGTCATGCAGCAACAAGGAAGCAATTAGAACAACTTGTAAATTTTGCAAGGGAGAATGGATCAATTATTATCTTTGACTCTGCTTATTCATCTTATATAAAAGATGATAGCCCTCGATCCATTTATGAAATTCCTGGTGCTAGAGAGGTACATAAGTTTTTTGTTTGTTTTTCTTTACTATCTAAATTCTTTTAGTGCATGCTTTGAGTTTATATAATCATGGTTTTGCAGGTTGCCATTGAAATTTCATCATTCTCAAAATTTGCTGGGTTCACCGGTGTCCGGCTTGGTTGGACAGTTGTTCCTGAGGAGGTCTTGTACTCAAATGGGTTCCCTGTTATACATGACTTCAATCGCATTGTGTGCACTTGCTTCAATGGGGCGTCCAATATTGCTCAAGCTGGTGGACTGGCATGTCTTTCCTCAGAGGGTTTCCTGGTAAGTTTTAAAGTCCAAATTAAACAGAACATGTGAACCGATCTATATTCAGCTTTAATGTTGATGCTTTGTGTGCCTGTGGGTGTGCATGAGGATTTTGCATGCGTCCACTTCATTTCATTGTTTCCTACTTTCCATGCTCATTTCCATTTTCACTCAATCATGAGTATTTTCATGGTAACAATAGAAGAAGAACACTTACGTGGCTGCAAAGTCTTTCAAAGGACATAAATCTCCACAAATAATTGACATTTTCATAATATATACATTGTGTATACATACTTTCCAAACCCAATAAAACCCCAAGGGCTTTTACTTCTTTATATACGTAGGGGTGATTTTATTTTAGGACTCGAGATCCCACATTGGAAAAATAATATATCCTAGAGTGGTTTAAGAGCTCTTGGGGACACCCTTTCCTTACCGGTTTTTTGGAGCAAGTTCTACCTATGGATTCTTAACAGTTTAGTATTGAAATCTCTAGCATTTTTATAATGTTAATAGAAAATTGTGTTTCAGGCTGTGCGTTCTCTGGTTGACTACTACATGGAGAATGCAAAGATATTGGTTGAAACATTTGCTTCTGTGGGTCTAAAAGTATATGGCGGCACAAACGCTCCCTATATTTGGGTGCATTTTCCAGGCTCAAATTCTTGGGATGTATGCACCAAAGTTCTTGAGAAAGCACACGTAATTACAATTCCAGGCTCTGGTTTTGGTCCATCTGGTGAAGAGTTCCTGAGAATTAGTGCTTTCGGCCACAGAGAGTCTATTCTAGAGGCCTCATCTAGGCTCAAATCCCTATTTCAATAGGAAGCACAGTTAGCATGGCTAAATCAGATGAGCTTGGGTTGGCCCAACTTTACAGTTTGATGTCTCAGAACATCATTGGCTTGTAATAAATATACTTTTGTCATTGGCTTTTCCTTTATTTTTCACGTACACGACCAAAACAAAGATACCTTCTTTTTATGTGATGACAAGTCGATATTTTAAATTATTCTAAATTTCTTTGAGGGGTATTCGAATTCGGGCACAAGGGGCAAACACACTGCCGTGCCCAACTAATCTAACTAGTTCTGCAACCAAAAATTGCTCAGCTTAAATTGCTTAGACTTGCTTGTACTTATTTTAAAATAATAAAAAATAAAAACATGTCCCAACTGATACCTCCTGGCCAACATCCCATTCTCAGTAGAAATGCATCAACATCTGATGCACCACCATCAAACATAAAGAAAATACTAAAAATGTGTATTTAATGTAACCTAGAGATAATTGAGCTAACTACGAAATTACTTCAAAAACAACACGATAGAACAGGAAAGGAAATAGATGGAGACAACCGGCCTTATACTATGAATATGGAGAGAGTACACTATATCCTGAACCTTATAATTTTGCTTCTTTAGAAGTACAAATGTAACGCTTACATCCAGTAAAGAGCTATCACAGTGAGTTGATGCTAATTTCACACTTTGAAAGGATAAAAAGGGTAAGAAAAACTTACAGCAACCATATCAACCAACACTTTCTGTGTTGAGCTGTACTCACAATATTAAGAGAAGTGCAATCATCAAATATCAAGGACCAGACAGCTAACCAGTTCAGCCGCCGGTGCACTCCTTGTGGCAATTACCTTCCAAAGATCTAGTTCTGATTCTGTTGGTCGTTCAGCATGTTCAATGGGGTCAACGAGTGATGAGGATGAAGCTTCTGAGATGGAAGCAACATGGTTCTGCACATACACCTGCAAAACAGCAATATTTCGATTGGCATCCTTTGTGATCACATGAAGCTTCCCAAGGAATCCAGCAAGCAAATAGGGAGACTCTGATTCAGTGAAGTCAGGAACTGGAATATCTTCTGCAACAACTTTCCAATCATCAGCTAGGTAATCGTATACCTTGATCTTCGCATTATCAGGAGAACTAGAAGGATCCAGTGCATACAATTCACCATCAACGGTGGCACTCATTTTCGTCCCTGCCTGTCTTGCCGGCCAACCCTCCCCCAAGCCAATTGGCATTTCAACCCATGAATTCGCCTCTGGATCATAAACCTCTCCTCCAACATCAACAAAAAAGGGCCAGCAGTATAAACTCTGTGGAACAAACAACCTTCCCCTGTATGAAGTCATTCCAGTAGCAATAGGCTTGAGCAGATCAGCCAAAAATGCAGTCGGTAACACCTGAGCTTTCGTAAAGGGCATGCTAGGTATTTGGGACCACACACCTGTTTTTGGATCAAATACTTCAGCTGATTGAAGAGGGGTCAATCCACCATGACCCCTAGTAACCCCTCCAACAGCATAAAGCTTATCATCTAAGATGCCTGTCTTGCAATAAGCTCTACCAATTGACATTGGACTTGATTCACTCCAAGAGTTTGTAACTGGGTTATATCGCCATGCACATCTCAGGGCAGAAGCCTTGGAAAATCCCCCTAGCACATAGAGGCAGCCATCAACAGCCCCAACAGAGCAACCACAAAATGGCATTCGATCTATTGCATCCTTCCTCCCAAGCCAACCCATGATGACATCTGCAATCCTGATACTTGAGCCTGCCATATTCCACATTCTAAGGGCAGCTAAACCCTTCCTAGATTCATCTTCACGAGAAACATTTGGCATTGGTGGCAACCTTTGCCATCTTCCGGCCAGAGGATCAAGAGCATACCATATGAGTTTATCATTTGCGACCTTTGTTAATATATAAAGCCATTCCTCTGTTGTTCCCATCTCTTTTCTCAAAGAGAAAAGTTCAGCACTCAAAATAGTGGCTTTCCAGGTCCGTGACACCGACTTCAATTTCAAATAGTGGATCCTAGGTATTCTGGAAAGAATCTGAATAGATATCTCGTCAGGAAGGCAGGGAATCAATCTCGGGTTTTTCTCATAAAAGCTTGAAGACAACCTTGGCCTCTTGCATGGTGCACTCTGTAAAACCTCATAAGGTTCATTCCCTCTAGTCCTGGAATGGTTCAAGCTCAAAATAGTCCCCATGGGTATCTTCCTCCAACCTTAGATTATAATCAAACTGAACCTCTTCAATCACAATTCTACCATCATATCTACAAAAAACTGAAAATCTAAATAAATAAGGGATGGTATGAGGAATTAAGAATCAATGTCCAACGTCAATTACCAAAAAGCAAATCACATTTTCATTAAAAAAACAAAAACAAAAAACAAAACAAAAAGAGAAACGAGCAAGCAAGAGACTGCAATGCAAATCACTTGAAACAACCTTGTCCACCATATTGCCTCCTTCAATTCAAGATTTGACAAGCACCCAAATATTATAAAAGCTTCATAAAATCAATCAATGTTCCCAACAGCTAAATTATATAAGAAAAAAAGATAAATCGTCAGTCTTAAAATATTCAGACCAAAAGAAGAAGAAAAAAAGGTTCATAAGATATCATCAACTAAACGGGCATATCCGAACAAAAAAAAAGCACTGGCCATAGCAACTGAAACAAGATGAACCCAGAGCTTCCTCAGCCTTGCTTTATCCTCCAAATACAGCAAACCCATTTCATCTTCACAGCTAAAAGTCTAAAATTTACAAAAGAAATTCACTTTCTTATTTGTTTGTCTCAATTTTCTTGACCATCAAACAGAAAAATTCGACACAAACCCTTAAAACTTCAATTTCATAAATGAATATTCAATCCTTCGACAAAATCAACCAAAATTGAGACAAGGAAATTGAACAGCTAAAAAAGAGAAGAGAGCAAATCGAGACTGTTCACCTGGGAATTTGAGAAATTAAACGGCAACGAGAAGCTGTGTGCTTGTGCTTGCTGCGAATCTTAATAGCGGGGCAGTACCAAGAGTCATTGGCTTTTTCGCGCAATTCCTTCCTCAATCCCCTCAGTCCTCCTCACTTTATTTGTTTTTTCTTTTCTTTATTACGATTTTTGCTTGTTTGCTTGCGCCACCGAACTCATCTGATTCGCTGCAACGCAGTCCAGGTGTTCATCACATTTCTGAAGTAATTTTTTTGTTTTTACAGAATAGAACACAACTACACATAGGAGTGGAATTTTTAACCCAAAAACCGACTGAATCGGCCTGGTGAAGAACAGTTCGGCTCACGGTTTGATCCAACCGAACTGACAACAGCAAAAAGTCGCTAAATATATTTGAAGTTGGGGTCATGAGGTTTCGAACACTTCATGGACATGCTTATTTTGACTCGTTAAAAACTTGTTAGGAAAAATTCACTTGGATAAAAATCTAGTCGAAGAGAATAGTACAATGCGCATATGTAGGGGTGGGCGCAGTCCCTTCCAATTTGGTTTTTATCTCACACTTAAACCGATACTATTCAACCAGTGCAGTTCGATTTAGTTTTGGTGAAAAAATTTATGAAATTGGTAGGTTCAGTTTAAACCAATTTCGGTGTTTTTTTCAACTTTTTTTTTACAAATTCCAACTAAAATTTTATTTTTTAGGCTTAAAAATTCACAAATGATCCAATTTCATGTAAAGAGAGATGATTGGGCCTAGAAAATAGAGGTGCTTTGAAGTTGGGTTTAGAGAAATATTAGTTATGGGATTAGAAATTTAGCATTGGACTTAAATAATTTTTTTAATTAAAAAAATACACAGTCGGTCTAGTCCGGTCTAATAAGGTGTGAAAATGGCACTAAAATCGATTTGAATCGGTCTAGTTCGGTTTGATATCAATTTGTTTACTTTTTAGTCAATACGATTTTTTCTGTCCGGAACGGCTCGATATTCCGGTTTTTCAGTCTCGATGCCCACCTTACACATACATCCTGTATATATATATAGAAAATTGTTGAATGCTCCTCCTAATAACGGCATGGTTGAATTATTTTGAAAATGCAGTACAAATGATATTAGTCACACGTTTGTCTCCTACAAAGTGAGCTTCTATTTGTATAAAAATTGCTTCCATACCATTGCAGAATGTACAAGTATTGCCATTCATTTAATCCCTCATAAGATTAGAGTAATACCAACAACATCTAGGCTATTTTCATAAAACATTTCACTATATGAAATGGTTTGAAAGATTCATAAAATAAGTCATATGCTCTCTTTAATAAGTAAGAATATAATCTGAGCTCATATGTTACCTATATGATGATAAGAGCATTAAGAGTTATATGGCATAATAAGCTATTCATATAAATTTTTGTATGCTTTGAGAGAAATTCCATAGGCTCTTCAAGAATCCTAAATATTTTATAGCTTTTAATATTTGAATACGTTGCAACAGTATCGAACTTGAATTCGAATTCATAACTCAATCAAAGTACTCAATTGAAGCAATTGGATCATTTTCATTTCATGGAAAAGGTAAAGAGTAGTTCTCAATAGTTCAAGACTCTCTACTCTTTTATTCATCTTTAGTGCCTACTAATTATAGGCATAGGAAATACATCATCATTTACCACCCATAAGTGGTGGTTACAAGGCATAATTACAAATGATAAATATTGTAGTGCATATAGGTTACAATCCTACAATGATAGTTATTATTGAGAGGAATTATAATGGTCTTATGATGGCTATTATGGAGGGCATTATAGTGGGCATCCATAACCTATGAATTTACAACAAAAATCAATTTTGATGGTTCTTATTCAATATGTTTACGGAGAAATCTGACATGGTAGATGATAGTCTAGCTAATCTTGGACATCAATTTGATAATCCTTGTATTTGGTTCTCCAACTTTCCTAGTTATGTTTTGTTCAGAATAAAATTTAATTTATATGCTTTAAGGATCCGTAGGGATCCTCTTTGTCCCTTGTATTTTCAAAAACAAAAAATAGCTAGCCTTCCATGCCATATGTATGAAAATAATCAATAATCCAGGGCCTTTCTGTTTGGTAGCAGTAGCATTTACCAAAAGGACGTGGTACACTTATATATCACAGAAAATTAAGATACAGGATTGAATACTTTTTTATCTCGCTGAATTTTACACGAAAATTTAATTTGGTCATTGAGAAATTTTTTCAGCAAAATTGATCATTGTATTTCCCAAAGTTTACAATTTATATACATTCGATTATCTTCCGTTAACTTTCTTCAAGTGCAATTTTTATTTTTATGTTTTTACAAGTTAGGGTATATTGTACTATTAAGGGTTATCATATTGAGGGAAATCTTGGGTTGAAATTGAAATTGTGAGGTATATGGAAAATGAAAAAGGCAAATCAAATTAAAATGAAATCAAAACTTTCCAAAATATTTTTGGCATCTTCTGCTTGCCATCTAAAGTCACAATACATTTTTCACTCAATCGATTCGAGCTTCAATATAGCATCTAATCTATGACCTTATACCTCACAATTCTGATTTCAACCCAAGATTTCCCCCAATATGATCATCCCTAATAGCACAACATATCCTAACTCGTTGAGTTAGAGGAAGAAGTCTAAAGGTGCTTCCTAAAAAATTTAAAATAAAAAACTTAACGGAAAATAACGAAATGTCTATAAATTATAAATTTTGAAAAACACAATGACAAAAAAAGTATTTAATCATAAGAGATATATATATATATATATATAGAGAGAGAGAGAGAGAGAGAGAGAGAGAGAGAGAGAGAGAGAGAGAGAGATAGATGGGGTATTATTGGATCGATGGAGTCAACTAGAGTCATTTTCATGAGATAAATATGAATATAGGCAATGTCTCTGAAGGGAAGGGACCATTAAATAGAGAAAAGACAGGATGGTTGAAGTCATTCAAAACACAGAGTGTACTAGAAATGAAACTGGCAATGCAACTGCAATGCCTGCTAAACCCTCCTGCTGTTAGCTAACTCATAAACACAGCATGTTTCAGACTTTTAGTACTTTCTCATATCATTTATATATATCTACTTCTTTGTATATGCTTCTTACATTACTATATATATATATATATATATTACCTTTACCAGCTGGCTAACCTAACCTTGACAAAACATTCAAATACATTCTGCATCCTTTCACTATTTGCTTTAATATATAACTTACCACTTAGCTAATCCTGCCTTCCAATACTACCTTATCTCTTTCTCTCTCTCTCTCTCTCTCTCTCTAGATAGCTAGCCATGAACATAAAAAACAGTTCTACTAGTACTATGGAGAAGAAGGATAAGAAGATGATCATGAGGGGCTTCATGTGTCAGTCTCCGGCAGCGACCGCGGTTTGTATGAGTCGAGCCGATGCTCGCTCAGTTATGGTGCCTAGAAGATCATCCACTAGTAGTCTTAATAATAATTTTGATATCAATTTCAATCGCACACACCACACAAGATCATTGCTCAACAGCAACAAATACTACTACTCCAGGCTCCTCACTTCTCCTCCTCCTCCTCATCATGTTCATGATCATGGCAAAATATCGCCCTTATTAATTATGCCGTCCACCAGCAAACAAGTAGGAGCTGATCATCATCATGATCTTCTTCCTCTTACCCATAAGCAGCCAATGTCCTCAAAGACGATCAAAAAAAGACCGTCCTCTCATTCAGATTCAGTCCTGCCTTCATCCGCCGACGACAATGTATTCCAGGTAAAGATTAATTACTTTTATTTACCAAGTTCATCAAATTTTCCAACCATGAATATGAATACTATTCGAAATGCTCTTCTTGTAATATGGTGAGAAGGGACAACAATGTGTTATATATGTTGGTTGTTGCAGGTGGTTGTTATGAGAGTTTCTATTCACTGTCAAGGATGTGCTGGTAAAGTGAAGAAACATCTTTCTAAAATGGAAGGTACGTACGCCTTTGCTTGCTACATCAATATGCCAACATTAATTCAAAGGCCTTTTTCTCCTTACTTCTTTCATTTTCTTGTGTTTCTTTTGGGAGACTTTGGAAAAACACAAAGGAGAGAGAAATTTTGTAAAAAAAGTCAAAATGGACAAAATTGCCCTTATTTATTTTTGGATTTCCTAAGGAATCCTTTACATTTGCATGTCTTTGATTTGAAAGTTGAGAGGTTTTTCTGTCTTTTTTGAAAAAGCTTTGGCTTTTTCCAAAAGTGAAAATTTGTTTTTGGCTAAAACCTAAATTTACTGTTTCTTTTTTCCTTGGATTTGTTGACATTAATTGCATTATAAAAGGGTTTCCTAATATGTGCTAATATGACAAAAATAAGAGATATTTAGTTATATACATATTCTTAGCACTAGTGATATAGATAAACTCTACACCATTTAATTTCTATAAACAAACCAAAAAATGATAGCATGCCTTATTGATTTAATTGTGATTATTTTGATGCCCTATTGAGTTTTTTGGGGTTTTTTTTAATGAGGTTTTGGGGTTAGGCTTGTTTTAAAAAATCGATGGCGACTTTACAATTTATAGAAAGTTCGAAGCCTCTTTGTTATGTTGTAAATGAGATTTTTGTGTATTTCTAAAATTCATTTAATGTAGGTTTTTTATAATTTGGGCCCCTATATTGGGTATAATAGTAAATCTCCCTAAAAATAACAAAAATTTCTTTATAAAAGTGCAATTAGCATGCGCTAAGTGGTGATTTAAGGGGTAGTTTTTACATTAAGCAAATGATTAATACTTTAGGGGATTTTATATATATATTTATTTATAATTCTTTTTATACCAGGAGTTACATCATTCAGTATCGACCTAGAGACAAAGATGGTAACAGTCAGAGGACACGTGTCACCATCTGCAGTGATGGAAAGCATTTCAAAAGTGAAAAAAGCAGAGTTATTACCCTCTTGAATCCATTCATTCCAAGGTTACCCCATATGGAAGCAAAAGTGGATCCAATTTTAATATTTGCCATTACCCCCGTTGTGGGTAAAACATTCCAAAAGGCGGTCCTCCATAAACAATAAAAGAGGCCATGGGGGTGTGTTTTTTGTGTTGGTGTGTTTGATCATCATGTGAGCTGTAGCCGTATTGATGGTGATGTGTTTTCCTTTTCCTATCGCCAATTCGAAGTGATGTTGATGTATCATAGTTAGAATTTACAATACAATGACAATTTCTAAGTTTTACCCCTCTTCATGAGAGAGGATTTGTATATCACGGGAATAGTACAGTTTTGCTATTCTCCCGTCATGTAAAAAAGTTATTGCGCATGACCAAACGAGATTGATAAGTGATATAGAAGTTTCTCTCTCTCTCTCTCTCTCTCTCTCTCTCTCTTCATTTATGTTTGGCATAAAATACAATATGCTATTAGGACCAAATTGACCAGTTCCTTTGTGGTATTGATTAATTGAGTCGTTCTACGGTGAGAATGCCTATTTCTTGCCTGTTTTTTACTATCTTCTTCAGGCCCAACACCCTTATTTGGTTCTTAGGTTTTAAAATAGCCTCTTTTAATAAATTTATTTATTTATTGAAATCTCCTTAATTAATTAATACTAACAATACGTGGGAGAATTGAACACAGCTATGTTGCATGAACTCGAATTTTCTATTTCTACTTCATCAAAATAAACCTAATACCATTCTAAATTTGCATAAGAGAATTACATGTTTTGTCAAATGTTAATTTATGAGAAAATTAATAATACTCAGTCTTGTTTGCTTTTCCTCAATTTGAGTATTATTCAATTCGGTTTCTGTTCACAATTTGAATCAGTTGGCCCAATGACCATAAGGCCCTCACTATAGAATTCTTGATAGCTTCCGAAAACTTATTTTTGGTGAACCCATGGTCCAAAGCTTTTACTAGGGGTTCTATTTTGTTCAATCTAATAAAGGTAGGCTCCACATATAGTGATTCACACGAGCCCAATTTATAAAAAACACACTACAATACCCAAACTCTAGAAATAAACCCAGTTGATTTTCAAACGGGCCAATTATACCAACTAGGCTTCAAAACACCTAAAAACTACACCCCACAAAAACCCAAGCCTCGACTCCATTTTTATAAAAAAATCTCAAGTATAAATAAATAAACACCAAAAACACAAAAACAAGCAAAACGATGTATCGTGTTCTTCTATCGCTCCCTAAGCAGTCTTATTCTAAATTTATTTTGGCAAATAAAAAGAACAACCTCAACTGTAATATCGTGCATGCTAACATGCAACGCATACACAAGAAAACGCATGTACATCATTTATGTAAATTATTCGTCTGACATGGGACGTGGGATACCAATGGATTGATTGTGTGTGTTCCTTGGGCTAGTACAGCAGTAACAACCATAGTAGCATGTAATTGGGTATGATTGATTGGGAATACCTAAACCAACAAGTTGATTTTGATAGCCTTTTTTTCTTTTCGAAAAGCCTATAATGAGGAGTTTAGAGTGGGGAGCTTATTTGAGGAGTTCAATCCCACCATCAATAAATGTGAGAAAATCAATGGACTTAAACATTTTAAATGGTTCAATAGTGGGATTGAAGCCCTCAAATTAGCTCCTCACTTTAAACTCCTCATTATAGAAGCTCCCTCTTCTTTTTACCATGAAGGGCTTATGTGGACTTTCAGCCCAGGTATGGGTCGAGTCCAGCTTCCCTGTCAAACAAGGGCGGAACAAGGATTCGATGTTTAGGGGGCGGGGGGCGAAAACTTAAATTTATCATTTTTCCTTGTTACCTCTTTCCATATCCTACAGATATAATAAAGGGATTAAAAAACAAATGAGAAAGCCAAGTCCACTCCTGCAAAAAAAAACTCTTTCGTAATGGAGATAGTACTATTTTGCTATCTCTGATAAATAATGCAATGACACGTTATCTCACGTGTCATTACACTATTGATTGGGAATAACAGAAAATATTATCCCCGTTGCATGAAAGTCTCGCTCCCACTTATGACCAGGGCTCTCTCCGAGCCTGCCGACAACAGGAAGAGCGTCTTGAAAAGCTGCCGTTTGTTCCTAATCAACCCCGCATGTCTTTGGGAGTAAATTTGTCCGGAAATCGTGCTTTTGTTCACCGGTAAATCTCTCATCATCATTACTGCTTAAATATTTAATTAAAACGAATTTATTTAATACAAGACAATCTAATATTTTGCAATTAAAAAGAAGAAACTCAACTGTAATATCGTGCAAACCAACACGAAGAAAACACATGCACATCATCTATCTGTACATGTGTTTCTGTATAGACTCCTTCTCTTTCCACTGCAGCAGCAATGGCCATGGCTTTATCTTCTCATCGTCACACCAACAACATGCACTTTAATACTGAATTGGGAAATTCAACGCATTTAGATTCATTGAACCTGGACGCAGTTTCAGTCCACCCCCTTTGGTCAGAGGTTTGACGTCTTTGCAACTCTAGATAATATATTTTTGCGTTTATTCTGTTTAATCATTGTTGCGTTGGCTTTGGCCGTGCTCCTCTCGCACACGCTGACGTGTCGCCAGCGACTATTTTTCAGGTGCAAACACTGCCAATCTAATTTCTACATCAAATCCTCCATTGTAAGATAATACAGGAATCCCCACTGGTTGGTTAATTATTATATTCTTCTTTTGCCTTAATGGCCTTGGCATAGCTCCACTCCTGTCCTGTGAGCCTATAAAAAATGAGGTTTTTTAGCAATAAGTTTTTAGCTCAAGTGGTTACGAGCAGTTACTCTGCTCCTTATAAGATTATGTGTTCGAATCCCTCTTCTCTGATAACACATGCTTTTGTTGTTGATAAATGAGCGATAAGATTAAGGGATTAGGCGAATTTCTTTACACATGCGGGCTCGGTTGTTGGACTAACTGAACCGTACTCTCTCAACCGCAAATGGGAGAAGGAACCTTACCTCATATGAGGGTGAGGATAAGATAAAACCACTGTTTTCGAAGCTATGAGTAACGTTGAACCTTACCTCGCGTCGGCATTCAATGACTCTATATTTAGGATATGATTGACGAAATAGATAATTTGTAGAGTTTATTGGAATTTATATGTGTGTTTGTATATCATTCTATGAATCTGAAAATAAATTATTAGCTTAGTTGACCTAAAAGTTTAGCATTTGCTATGGAAAATACTAGAAATGTTGTACTCCGAACAATGAAAGGGAATAAGATAAAGACATATTGTCCTCTTTTACATAAAACCTTTCTAAAAATTCCTTTTCATTCATGCTCTCCGAAGATTTCATCTCAATCCTTTGACAAAAGTCTGTTGCTCATCAACCTCTTCCTAAACTCTAGCTTTAACTTGTGCCATACATGAAAAAGATTATGAAGATTGAAGAAAATTATAACAAACGGCCTCTAGTCTAGTAGAAAAGAGCACTTGAAGATCAATAGTCTCTGGTCCGAATCTCATACTACCTTAGAAGTGTGAGAAAAAAAAATCCTCCATTTCCTAACTTTTGACAACAAAAGAAAGAAAGAAAACCCTATAATAATGAGGGCACTGAGGCATCGCTTGCAGGATGAGATGATGCTTGCTTTCCGTATTATTTGTGTAGAATACTACTATCTCACAAACATACTACTAATGCATCATTGACAAACAAACTTAGGTCCCCTATAATTATTGTTTTTTAAAATTCACTCAATCCATAATTACATTTTGGCCTCATTCTTTTGTTTTTATTTCATATATGCCTTTTGCTCACATATGAAATAGCATTTTTTCTTTTGTCTTTCCCTCCTGGCATGGACGTCTGAATGTTAACAATCTAAACAAAAAGATGGATGCCAAGAAAAGAGCCACAAAATGCTTTAAATGTTCTATTATTATCGTCAAAAGAAGAAGAAGAAAAAAAAAGTAATTTACTATTTTGTCTTTGGCCGTATTACTACATGAACATTACTAAAATTTATTCTTTGTCTCGATCCGATGACAATCTTTCGTAGTAGTATCAAAGAGTACGGCTATAAAACTATTGTCATTGTTTTATTAGAGTAAACCCACGCAGTGATGCAACATATTATACTACGCAGTGATGCAAAATATACAAAAATTATGCAAAAGGCTTGTAGCTCAAGTGGTTAAGAGCATTTATTCATGTACACGGGGTCATAGTTTGATTCCCTCCTTCCCTAATATAGCTTGCATAAAATAAAATAAAAAGACAAAAACTATTGAGATTTATAATCATAGAGTCGGATGCACTTAACATATTTTTCCTTTTGATACAAGCCATAATAGGGGATGAGGAAGTGACCAATGATATTAGCCATTGAACTATAAGCTCTTTTACAAATGCATATTTCTTTAAAGTCTTTTCTCGGTGAACTTGGCCGGGAAAGGGGTCAAATTTCATGATGCTATAATAGTTAAATAATTTCTTATTTGGCTAGGTTAAATGCACGGTATAGATTATTGAACTACAGTCTAAATAGGAATCCCTTTCTGGAAGGGCATTGTGTTTGTATGTAAATAAACTAATGGATGAGTTTGACTTTTCCTAATATTAATGTTTCAATATGTTTCAATAAGGTAAATGTTAATATCACGAGTCATTGTCAGCCGTTGATTAGTGCGGCTGTTATAATCGATTCAGAATTTATGTTAAGTCCTAGTATATGGCATGAAGCCAACAAGAGAGGCTATGCGACCAATGGATGGCATGAATGGACACAACAAGAGAGGGACTATGTAACGACCGATGACAGTGAAGAAAGAAAAACAATTGCAATTTTAATATTTGATTACAATATTCCATAACATAGGAGGACACGTAAATTAGCAAGACTTGTACATCGCCCCAGCTAAGTCTGAATGTGGCTTGTTTGCTCAGTAAGCCCTTAAATCTTGAGACAGATCAATCACCACGCTCATTGTTTAATTTGTAGC